TAGAGACTGACTCCAAGATGATCTAAATATTGGAATAAAAGAAGCAATGTTTTAAAAGCAGCAATTAGAATAACTATGCTCAATGAAGCAAAGGAAAATATGCCCATAATAATTAAAAAAAATAGGGACTACCAGTGGAGAAATAGAAATTATATTTTAAAAGAACAGATTGAAATTCTAGAACTGAAATATATCTTATCTATGACAGAAAATTTACTAGATGGATTTAATAGCCCAATGAAAATAACACAAAAGGAATTTGTAAGCTTCAAGATAGTTCAGTAGAAATTATTGAATCTGAAGAGCTCAGAGAAAAATGTTGAAAAACAACAGAGGCTAATGGGCATTTAGGACTATATTAAGGGGTCTGACATACTTGAGACTGGAATTTCAAAAGGATTAGAAAGATAAAGTACAGAAAAGATATTAAAAAGATATACAGGCTGAAGCATTCTCCCATTTGGTAAAAGACACAAATTTATAAATTCAAGAAACTTAGCAAATGTCGGGCAGGATAGATAATAATTTTAAAACTTCTAAGCACATCACTGATAAACTACTGACAATCTAAGATCATCGGAAAATGTTTAAAGCACCCAGAGAAAAAATGACACATTATATTGACAGGGGAAAGAAGAATCAAATAATGGCTGACTTCTCATCAGAAGCAATGAAAGCCATTAAACTGTTGAACAGTATCTTTAAATAGATGGAGGAAAACAGAATTCTATATCCAACAAAAACATTTCTTGAGAATTCCTTGAGTTCGAGACCAGCCTGGGCCACGTAGTGAGACCCCATCTCTAAAAGAATAAAAATGGAAATATAAAAAGATAAAAGTATTTTATAGTCCAGAAAAAAGAAGAAGAAAAGGAGGAACAGAGAAACGAAACCAGAGAGAACAAAACAGAAAACTTATAGTAAAATGGTAGGCTAAACACAAGCATATCAGTGATTGCCCTAAATGTAAGTCTACGAAACAGTCTCTATCAAATTCAAATGCAGAGATTATCAGTCAACTTTAAAAAAAAAATCTCAACTATATGTTTTCTGTAAGAGATTCAGCTTAAACATAAATACAACCACAGGTTTATTTAGGATTAACCTTAAGCCAATAGTTTTCAAAAGTCCCAAAAGTTCCCATCTAATTCTTTCTACAGTATTTCCTCTCTCACTGTATTAATGTTCTATCTTTTAGCATTACAGCTGCACTCAAATTTAGTAAGTGCCATAACCATAGGCCAAGAGAATAAAAGCCGCTGTCTAAACAAACACATAATCATAATTTTTGCTAAAGTTCCTGAGGGAAAAAGCAGTAAAAGATCCAGGAAGGTTCTCCCCATTGTCTGGTTTCTGATGACTTCTGGAACAAGGTGTGAGCGCAATTACAACATCCAGAAGAGAGTGGAATGTACAAAATCAATCAATCAATCAGTTTTCAGATAACATCTAGTTTAATCAAGGAATTCCTGTAGAATTATTATGGATAACATTATTCATCACTTAAATTAACGTAACAGATTTTGAAAGAAAAACAATTCATAAGTAAGTCATTATAGGGAATTCCAAATATTATAAAATGAGAATGTCCCATGTGGTCTCCTTACACTCAACATCTTGCTTTGTTATTGCAGAGTCACCTTGTTGGATATTTAGAAGTTAGATGTGTAACTGCACCAGACCAGTCTGGTCTATAAAACATACAAAAATTAGTCAGGCATGGTGCTGTGCGCCTGTAGTCCCAGCTGCTTGGGAGGCTGAGGTGGGAGGACCTTGAGCCCAGGAGGTGGTGGTTGCAGTGAGCCAAGATTACACCACTGCATTCCAGCCTGAATGACAGAGACCTTGTCTGTCTGTCTGTCTGTCTGTCTCTCTCTCTCTCTCTCTCTCACACACACACACACACACACACACACACGTCAAATGTGATAAGATGCCAACACAGAATTCTACAGAACTTGTAGATGAGGGTCATTGTAAACCATCATCTACTGCTTAGGTGATGAAGCCACTTCCTTCACAAAATCCCCAATTCCTTCAAATTCCATCAGCTAGTAACAAAATACTGCTAAACTTGTAATTATAGATATTTACAGTAGTTGGATAAATAAAATCATAATGGTATTTTACAATTTACATAGCTGATTTAATATATGTATGTATATACAGATATCTACATATAGATAAATATAATGTTCCTGACTGTTATAGAACTATTTTTCCTCTGAGAATTTAGATAGGGTAGCGATACATTTCACTAATTCCTCCTCCATAATAGTTACACATATGAGATTTTCCAGTGGTAGATGGAAGATGAAAGAGGATGGATCGAGAATCATTCCCAGGGTTTTGACTCCTGTATCTAGAAAGCTGAACCATTAGCTGAGTAAAGGTTAAAGCTTAGTACAGGTTAAATGAAGGCTGGTCCATTTACGTAGTAAACATTAAAGGCTGGACCATTCACTTAGTATAACAAAATCAAGTAAGTAGAACTGAAGAGTTTGAATTTGGGCATACGAATTTTGAAGTACAAATATATTGGTTTGGAGTGTGGATGAAATCATTGCAATGGAAAGGAAGAGCTGAGAGCCATCAAGGCACACATGATCACTGAAATCCTGGATATGAATGTGATCATGCAGAAGACTATGAATTCAGAGAAGGTCAAGGATGGCGCCCTGGGAAACATCAACATTTAGGGGACAAGCGGCGAGCAAGAAGCCCAAAAATACGAAAGGGAAGGAAGTCAGGGAAATGAAGAAGGAATGGAGAGAATATTGCTACTGAAATCAAAAGGAAGAAAGAACACAAGAGTGTTTAATGAAGTAGAATAATATATGCCTTAGCCACATAATCTTATCAAAGCTGAGTAAGGATGGCTGCTTTCGCTCTTAGCTTAATAAGCCATTGGTATTTTTCATCTTTTCCTATTAGCTATTTTCAGGACAATAGTTGATAGGAATATAGTATCACTTCCCTGGTACTATGTATCAGTTTCCTAGGGCTGCCATAACACATTACCACAAACTTGCTGGCTTAAGGAAATGTATTCTCTTAGTCTGGAGGCCAGAGGTCTGAAATTAAGACATTGGCAGGGTTGGCTTCTTCTTAGGGGCTTAAAGGGAGCCCATTCCATGCCTCTCTCCTAGCTTCTGGTGGCGGTTGGCAACCTTGCCATTCCTTGACTTGAGTCAGCATAAGCAGGATATCTGTCTCAGTGGTCACACGGTGTTCTTTCTGGGTGTCTGTGTCCAATTTCCCCTCTTTACAGAAGTACAGCAGACACTGGATTAATCTCATATGACCTCAGGTTAACTTGATTAAATCTGCAAAACTACTTCCAAATAAAGTGATATTTGGAGTCTTTGGGTAAATCGGACTTTATGGATAAGTCATACCCACTGTTAAGGACATGATGGCAAATTTATAGGTGCTACTGCAACTAGATTCTAGAATAAAGTATAAATGTAAGATATTAGGGTGCACAAACAGATAAATTATATGTGAGCACTTTATTGTAAAAAATTTTTACACTTCAGTCTTCTTCAATGGCAATAGGAGCCCCAAATAAATTAAGATTCACTTTTTAGAAATTCATACTGGGCTGAATACTTTTATTTGACATCTCATCTGCTATAAGAGAGATCTCTTTCAACTGCTTCTATAAAGAATAATTTTTTTCTCAGTAAAATATAAAATCACAAAACCTTTCCAACTCTTGGGCTTGACAGTTTCCATAACCACACAGATGGCTAAACTAATGGACTCTTTAAAAGTCTTCAAGTAATGAGAGGTGTGGCAAAGAACTATACATTTATTGAGACAAAAATACCTTTTATTATCATCAAATATTTAGTATGCAACACAGTCTTTGTGGTACCATTAGGTATTAAGTGTATTAGGGCCTTTAGGCCTTTGTTTTAGGGGGGAAAAAAAGACTCCCAACTTTCCTTGGGATAACATTAGGGAGGAGCCAGGTATGTGAACAAACATAAAAGTAACATTTAAAAATAACTGTGACATTATTTTGAGCCATCGAGTCCATTCAAGATAGGATTCTAAGATATGCTTAAGGTGGGTACTCGTTGATCACTCTTGGTTTCGCCCGGCACCCCCCTTCATACCACCTTCCTTTTGTGACACTTTCCAAGGTCCCCAAACACAAGCCAAACCAGGCTCAGCTGACCTGGAGCAAGGCCCTTTGCCTGCCGACATCCAGACAGGTGAGGCTTTGGGACACCCAAGCCAGACCCCTCTCCTCTGCCGGTCCGAGGCTGCCTCGGAAGGCTCCGTTATCCTGTAACTAAGGGAGGTCAAATGCGCCTTTCCAAGGCTCAGACACGGTAAAGACTGAATGGCATTTTTAAGGGGAAAAGTAAACCATGTGTAGCAAAGGCTTAGCAACTGTTGCAGCTGAAGAAACTTTTTCGGACAGGGAGTTTTTACATAGGACGCGAGTGGGGATGGGAACGGGAACCCTATGACTCGGTTCAAACACGGTTTCATTGCTCTGGACGTCAAATGGAAACAAGGCCAAAAGTTTGGTTAAAGGACTTTTTGCCTGAAGATTTTCGGCGGGGATCTCACCGGTTTGGCCTCTGGATAGGGACGACAAGTGCCCCTGTGAGATACACAGCCCAGCCCTCATCAGTCACTCGGCTTCCCTCTGGCCCCGCCGGCTGGCCCGGGCGTCCTTGGCCCGGGCAGCAGCAGCGCTGCGCGGGGCGCAGAGCCTCGGCCGCGGAGTTTTCGGTTTCCGCGTTTCCTTCCCAGGCCTCTACCACTTCCCCTTCTCACCGCCGCCCGCCCGCCCGCAAAGTCCGGGTGGCGAGGTCGCGCCTCCCGCAGGATCCCGTCCGCCTCCCCCGCGGGACCGAAGGGAGGCGAATTCCTGTGGGTCCCAGGAGTGCCAAGAGTGCGAAGCAAGACGGGAAATTGCAAAAGACCTCACCCCTCTGCCCTCCCCCGCGGTTTTCCCGTAACTCCCGCCCCTCCGCGCTCGCCCCGCAGCTGATTCATAGCCCCGGCCCGGGCCGCCTCGGCACGTCCGCCCCGCCGTCCACACCGGCGCCCGCACCCGCACCCGCGCCCCACACGCCGCGGAGGACTCGGCCCGGCTCGCGGAGCCCTTCGCCCGCGGCGTGAGTATCCCCGACGCGCCCGGCCCCGCTGTGCTGGCGCCCCGGCGCGCGCCGCCCTCCCTGGCTTTTCCGACTGCCGAGCCCGCCGCTGCGCGGGAAAGAATCTGACCACTTCGAAGCCCTTCCCGGCTGGACCGGCCGGGAGCGCAGCCGCCCGCTCCCCTCCTGGCGCTGCCCCTGCTCCGTGTTTGCCTTGGCTTCCACCTGCGCGGGGACGGCGCTCGGAGGGTCCTCGCCCCCGGCCTGCCTACCCGGTGGGTAAACACTCAAAGATTCATTCCTTACAAGCCGCACACTGCCGGGTCGCCCATTTCACAGCCTGTTTGAAACTCACCATCCCAGCGCCTCTTCCTCAAGTGATGGGGGAATGCTTGTTGAGTGAAAATCCCCACTTGATCCCCTTTTGCCTCTCTCCCAACACATCGTGTGGGGGAGTTCGTTGCTTCCCAACCTCTCCTCTCCTCTCGTAACCCTTAACTCCCAACCGGCAGAGCCATTTCTCTTGGAATCCGTGTATCTCTCCCACCTGCTCCCTAAAGTAGAAGGGGGTGGAGCTCACTCACAGGTGGAGAGAGGAAACCCTCCGCGACTAGGCGGTAGTGTCCCGGGCGCTTACCTTCTTCTCCAGCCACGTGAATGGAAGTGGTCCTCTATTCTGGAAACTTAGGCACGGAGGGGTTTAGTAACTTGTCCAAGGCCTTTAGCTAGCTGTGAGGGCAGTGAAATCCAAGCCGGCTCTTGCAGACCAGGGCTTTACTCCTGACACTGCAATTCCTTTCTTGATAGTTCTTGATCTGCCATTTATCTGCCCACCCATGCATGCCTGCATCCGTCCATCCATCCTGCCTACCTTGCTGCGGAGGCACAGCGCTAGGTGCTGCTGATGGAGTGGCTTGGTAACAGACCTGCCTGGAGAACACTTTGGGAAGAAAATACTCAAGAGAAGTAAATGGGAGGGTCTATGTAGGCAGAGAAGGTAGGAATGAATGTGGGACATCTAGTTTGAGCTAGAAGGACTTCTGATGAAGGAGAAAGAAATTTTGGGGTCCAGTTCCCAAGATTAAAACTTACTTTGTAATATGGGTCAAGCTACGTATCACCTCTTAATTTTCTTGTCTGCAAAATCATAATGGTTCATACTTACTGTGGGCCAGCCCCCTATTCTAAGCACTTGACATATGCTAGCTCATTTAAGCTTTGGAGTGAGACAGGTACTAGTTTTGTCATTCTTACTGTATTGAGGAAACTGAGGCCCAAAGAGGTTTTGTAACTTGTCTAGGGTCACACAGCTAGCAGGTGGCAGGATCAGGATTTGGGTTTAGAGTCTGCTCCTGATCCCTGTGCTGTGGGGGTATTTCATTGTTGTCCTGCTTGTCTCTCGCCTGGGCTGCTTTAAAATGCACTCAGAGGTCCTTGAGGTTCCCAAACTCCGCTGTGTCTGAGAATCATTTCTGAAGCTTTCGAGAGCATCAAACTACAACCACAGCAGTCTTCAGGAAATGCTCCGTTTAATGTTTCCCCAGTAGTACTTGTTCAGTGCCTCCAGAGCTAGGAAGCTCACCACCTCAGGTTTTATTGCAGGAAGAGCTAGTTCTCAGCTGTATATTGCCTCCTTGTGACTTACATCTTGGTCCCAGTTCTGCCACTATTTGTCCCAGCAGGTATGGCTCGGCCTTTTTTATCAAGGTGGCTTTGAGAGAAAAAGGCTGGTCTTGGGTGTTCCCTCCTCAGGGGAGAGAACACTTAAACACTTCCTCTTTCCCCTCTACCCTTTTCTGTAGCCTGAACAGACTAGGAACACATGCAGAGGTGTTGCTGGATCTCTAATATTTTTGTAACCCTTTGTCCTGAGAACAAAACCAAGTCAGGAGAACTATGACGGTTTTGAAAGAGGAATCAGTGGTACTACATTTGACAAGAAGAAAGCGTATGTTTTTCTTGTGGGAAAGGGCTGGGGCGTTCCTTGGCTGCAGTAGAAGGGAATCTTAGTGAGTGTCATCTCGCTCACTTACTGGAACAGTGAGCCTTGGCCCTCCTTTCCTTGGGGGAGGAAATCATTCTTGATTTCTTAAAAAATGTGTAAAATGGGGGGAAAAAAAAACAAAACCAAAACAAAAAGAATATTGTGGCCTTGCTGGAGAAACCCCCTCCTCCAGGCAGGCTTCTTTGTAGCTACATGAAGGGAGAATTTCTTTTCCATCAGCCGTGCCGTGGCTTTGTAGCCCTCCTTCCCTCCTCATTTTAGTTCTACTGGTTGCTCTGCATTTGTGTACTCCATGTTGTATTCTGTTTTTATGTTTTAAAAGTAATACAAATAATAATAACTCATCCTCGCTCTAACAATATAGAAGTAAAGTGAAATGTAGATGTGCCATCACCACCCTACTCCCACTCAGGAGAGGGAAGGTTAAGTTTGATAATACCATTCTAAGGTTTGTTTTTCTTTTCTGGATTTACATAATACATACATATACGTATGTTTTTTAAATATGCAAATGAATCTTACTATACTTATTATGCTGCTTGGTTTTTCACTTTCCAAGTCTCAGAGATCTTTCCATTGTCTCTACATACCTCTTTTGTTAATGGCTACTTGTTACTCTTTTTTTTTTTTTTTTTTTTGGTGAGACAGGGTCACAGGGTCTCACTCTGTCACACAGGCAGAAGTGCAGTGTCACGATCATGACTCACTGTAGCCTCCACCTTCTGGGCTCAAGTGATCATCTCACCTCAGCCTCCTGAGAAGCTGGGACTACAGGCACATGCCACCACACCTGACTATTTTTTTTTTTTTTTGTATTTTTGGTAGAGATGGGGTCTCTCATGATGCCCAGACTGGTCTTGAACTCCTAGGCTCAAGCAATCTGCCTGCCTTGGCTTCCTAAAATGCTGGGATTATAGACATGAACCACTGCGCCCATCCAGCTACATGTAATTCTAAAGTAGAAATAGAATACAAAAAATTAGCTGGGCACGGTAGCGCATGCCTATAATCCCAGCTACTCAGGAGGCTGAGGCAGGAGAATTGCCTGAACCCAGGAGGCGGAGGTTGCGGTGAGCCGAGATCGCGCCATTGCACTCCAGCCTGGGTAACAAGAGCGAAACTCCGTCTCAAAAAAAAAAGAAATAGGGGCCGGGCGCGGTGGCTCAAGCCTGTAATCCCAGCACTTTGGGAGGCCGAGGCGGGTGGATCACGAGGTCAACAGATCGAGACCATCCTGGTCAACATGGTGAAACCCCGTCTCTACTAAAATGACAAAAAATTAGCTGGGCATGGTGGTGCGTGCCTGTAATCCCAGCTGCTCGGGAGGCTGAGGCAGGAGAATTGCCTGAACCCAGGAGGCGGAGGTTGCGGTGAGCCGAGATCGCGCCATTGCACTCCAGCCTGGGTAACAAGAGCGAAACTCCATCTCAAAAAAAAAAAAAAAAAAAAAAAAAGAAATAGGATATAATTTATCAGTCTCTTCCTGTATTGATGGAGATTTAGCATTAGCAACATTGCTTCAGGGCAAATCACACATTCATCTTTGTGCTCAAGTGTATTTCTGCGGAAGACAATCTGTGGAGAGGTGTTCTTGCCTCAAAGGTTTGGCCCATTTTTCCACTTAATAGATACTTTGTAACTCAATTTTTTTGTAAAGTTCTAGACAGCTGATCTAATAGCTTTTATTTAATAATTTGTCTTTTTTTCCCAATTCATTTGAAAATCTGTTTTTATCTAAAATAAATTCCTGTTTGTAAAGGGGTCTGGGTCAGGACTCTGTCTCAATCTACATCTGTTTCATTGATATATATATATTTTTTTATATCTTCCTATACCAGTATCACACTGAGTTAACCCACTGTGGCTTTTGATAGTGTTTTAAAAAATCTAGTATGTATTTGTACTTTTTTAAAAAAACTTTTTATAAATCACATACATTTTCTCTTTACACATAGCCCGTCGAGTTTAATAAAATCCTATTAAGATTTTATTGAGTTTATAATTGTTAGCAATTTTTAATGCTTTAATGTCCACTTTGGTATGAATCCCAAGCTTTAAGGAAGCGGCATCATGTGAACTTTGGTTAATGACTTACCCAATCTCAAATACTGGCTTCACATCAGATTAATTGGGTCCATTTGGATGAGTTACTTTTAACCTTTCTTAGCCTTAATTTCCTCCTTTGTGAATGGGAATAATAATATAATCCTTTTCTTAGGGCTGTTGTGAGGATTCAGTTAATAAATGCATGTAAGTCACTTAGCAGAGCACCTGGTAGAAAGTTAGTATCTAATACATGCTAGGTGGGATCATATTCATATTTATATCCTACTCATGGTTTTCAGGGTGCCCTACTGGTAGTAGGAACTAGTAAATAATTTTATTTGTCAGTAGTATCCTAAGAGACAAAAATATATCATCTCTCTTAAATATGGTAGTGTTTCTCAAACGTCAGTGTGCACGTGAATCACCTGAGGATATTGTTTAACTGCAGACCTTTATACAAGAGGTCTAAGGTCTGGCCACAGATTACATTTCTGACAGACTACCAGGTGATGTCAATCCTGTTGGTCCTTTGTCCACACTTAGGGCATACAGTCTTGCATTACTACTTAAAGTTATGCTGCTAGTGGTAGTACTTCCTATTTGTAATGATTGTGATTGACAGGATTTGTAAATAGATTCTTTTTAAAATTACATGCAAAAGAACTAAATTATAGTTGTTTTTCTTTCTTCTTTCTTTCCTCCCTCCCTCCCTTCCTTTGTTTTTGTTAAAAGAAAGAGGATTGGCTAGATCGCTAATAGAATACTTAATTCTGTTCTTGGATCTAGAATCATTGAGGCAATTACCTGTCTGGATTATTTTAAACTGTTGACTTAAGATGAAGACAGTTACATAAAATGTATACAGCCTGAATATGATATTTAATATCAACTAAAGAAAAGCACAATTGTAGGTGGGCTTTTGCAAATGGAAAAACATAAGACATAAAGAACATTTGGGAAAATGTAATACAAAAGAATTCTCAGAAAACAGTGATTATGGTTCCATTGTTCATATGTATGCCAGCTTTTGATAAGCTGTGCATTAACAGAAGTTATGCTTTCTTCTGAGTAAATTTTTCATACACCGTGTTATTTCTTAGTCACCTCTTTCTACTCCCAGTCTCCCTAATGGGGGATTTTGAGCAAGTTTACTTCATATATACTTCAGTGAGCCTGCTAGTAAGCAGGGGATGGTAATATAATTTTTCTACTCAGGACATTGGT